GATAGAGATGAACTACAGTGATTGGCAAGACTTGGATTGGTGAAAATAGGTCAGTCCTTGGAGACTGAGATGGATGGGTTTTAAGGTTGGGGGAGCCCGGAAGGCTTCTGTTCGGTCGTATTATTTCTTCCAAGATCAGGGTTATGGTTACATGATTATTAGCCTGTGAGAAGCATTTGTCATAAGCCATGATTTGCTTTCTTTTTTCACATGTTTCACTAAATATAGATCATGGAATTCAAGCCACATAGAAGTTATTGACAAATGTAGCATATTATAGAGGTGCATGGAGCACTCTTCATTCTCAGGTTGCTTACTGATGGTTTGAAAGATGACTCAACACCAGTGTTTACCCATTAGAGTACATGTGTTAGGTATTCCTAGGTAGACACTCTCCCAAGAGCTCCAGATGTGAGCAGTGTTCCTTTTTTCAGGGAGCTAGGAACAAGTACTAATCAAATCAAAAAAAGCACACAATAAATAAAATATGATTAGGCAGTGGTAAGTCTAACAAAGAAAAAGAAGTTATTGCAGAGAGTGACAGTGATTATTTAAGATTCTCTGTGTATATGTTGGGATTAGACTTCTGGATTTGCATATGTCAGACAACTAGTTAACATTGGGTGAAAACCCCAGCTCAGGATTGATATTTAGGGCTTTCTATAGAAATGACAGTCTGTAAAGAAATAAAGGAGGGGATATAATAAGCAATATAAACATCTTGGGAAAGGGGAAAACGAAAATCTGAAATAGTGAGCAATGCACCCAACATTTTGGACATGGGACCATAAAGTCCAGCCTTCATGAGTACTCAATAGAGAGAAAATCACTTAGTCTTCCTTTCCCATCATGTACTGGCTGCCCCATCAGGGCAAAGCCTATAAATGACTTATTCACCAGTATTTTCCAAGGACTGTCATGCCCAGTATATAGACTTGATCTGTAAGTATTTATATAACGCAAACCTTACAAAATTACATCTTTCAGCAGTCAACTTTCTACATTCACAAGCTCTGTGTTCATAGATTCAACTATCAATCAAAAATATTGGGTGAAAGTTTACTTCTGATATCTCAATGCTTAAGAGGTTGAGCCAGTCGACTACCATGAGTATGATGACAGCTTGGGCTACAGAGCGAGACCTTATTCCAAGACAACAAGAAATTACTCCTTTTATATATTTATTCATTGATGGATTGATTTTATAACCCAACTGCATTTCCTCCTCCCTTCTCTCCTACCATTCCCTCTTCCTCCACCCACTCCCAACTCACTCCTTCTCTGTTACTGTTCAGAAAGGAGCAGGCCTCCGATGGATATCAGTAGAGCATGGCATATCAAGGTGCAGTAAGACTAAGACCTCCACTTGTATTAAGGCTGGGCAAAGCAGCCCAGTATGAGGAATAGGTTCCCAAGAGCCAGTCAGTGTGTTAGGGGTAGCTCTGCTCCCATTGTTAGGAGTCCCACAAGTGGGATGCTACACAACTGTCACATATATGTAGATGGCTTAGGTTGGTCCCATGAAGGCTCTCTGGTTGTTGATTCAGGTTCTGTGATTTCCTATGAGCCAGGTTAGTTGATTCTGTGAGTTTTCTTGTGATGCTCATGACCCCTCTGGCTCCTACTATCCTTTCTCCCTCTCTTCAGCAGCATTCCACCAGCTCAGCCTAATGTTCGTCTGTGGAATCTCCGTGTCTGTTTCCATCAGTTACTGAATGAAGGCTCTCTGATGACAATTGGGGTAGGCCCCAATCTGGTCACAGGAAAGGGCTAGTTCAGGCTATGTATCCACTATTGTTAGGAGTCTTAGGGTAATTCCTGTAGATTCGTGAATTTCCTTTGTATCGTTTTTCCACCTGACCCTGAAAATCCCTCCTTCACAGTCATCTCTTTCAGTACTCATTCCCTCCATCCACCCTGTAACCTTATTCCTCTCGGTATTGAGGTAGATTGATTCCCAGTTTTCTGAGAAACCACCACATTGATTTCCAAAGTGGCTGTACAAGTTTGCACTCCCACCACTTTAGGTGTTTCTCTGTCATTTGAGGTTCTTCTATTGAGAATTCTCTGTTTAGGTCTATGCCCCACTTTTAAATTGCATTACTTGTGATATCTAGTTTCTTGAGTTCTGTATATATTTTGGAAATCAGCCCTCTGTCAGATGTGGGGTTGGTAAAGATAGTTTTCCATTCTGTAGGCTGCAGTGTTGTCCTATTGACAGTGTTCTTTGCCTTATAGAACCTTTCAAGTTTCATGACAATTTGTTAACTGTAAATCTTAGTGTCTGTGCTACAGGTTTTCTATTTAGGAAGTTTTCTCCATGCCAATGTGTTCAAGGCTAGTCCCCACTTTCTCTTCTGTCAGGTTTAGTGTAACTTGATTTATGTTGCGGTCTTATATCTATTTGGACTTGAGTTTTGTGCCAGGAGGAAGATACGGATCTATTTGCATTGTTCTGCATGCCAACATCTAGTTATACCAGTGCCATTTATTGAAGGTGCTTTCCTTTTTTTCCATTGTATTTTGGCTTCTTTTTCAGAAGTTAAGTGTGCATAGGATTGTGGTCTTATGTCTGAGTCTTTGATTCAGTTCTATTGATTAGTTTACCTATTTTTAATGCCAATACCATGCTGCTTTTATTACTGTAGCTCTGCAGTAGAGCTTGAGATATGGGATGATGATACCTCCAGCAGTTCTTTTATTATACAGAATTGTTTTATCTATCCTGTGTTTTTTATTTTTCCATATGAATTTGAGTATTGTTCTTACAAGGTTTACAAAGAATTGTTTTGGAATTTTGATGGCAGTTGTATTGAATCTATACACTGCTTTGGTAGGGTGGCCATTTTTATTATGTTTACTATGTTAATCCTACTGTTCCATGAGCATGGGAGGTCTTTCTATATTCTGATATCTTCTCTAGTTTCTTTCTTCAAAGACTTGAAGTTCCTGTCATAAAGGCCTTTTACTTGCTTGATTACAGTTACCTCAAGATATTTTATATTGTTTTTGGCTACTGTGAAGGGTGTTGTTTATCATTTGTATATAAGAGGGCTGATTTTTTTATATCATATACAAGCCATTTTGCTAAAGGTGTTGTGTTCCCTTGTAGAATTTTCGGGCTCCTCTCAAAGCAAGCTTTAACAGATACAAAAAAAATGGAATAACCCCCTATATCTTATTGGATCTCTGTGCATTAAAGTTGGAGTTCAACAACAATATAAACTAAGAAAGCCGACAAACTCATGGAAATTAAACAGCCCTTAACTGAATTATTACTTGGTCAAGGAAGAAATTACTTCTGAACATACTTTTCTTTTTGTCATTACTATCTGAATAGTATACCATGAGAATTCTTTATGTATTTGCTCTAGACATTAGCAACTAATGGATATTTCAAAGTATGAAGGAAAATATGAGTACATTCCTTGCAAATACTACACCATTTCCCATGGGTGACTTGATCATCTTCATAATAATGTATCAAGAAGGGATTTTAAAAACAGCCTCATGTAATACCAAGAGAAGACTATCTTGTGTTTTCTAGATTACCTCTTCTGCTGCTGAGATTTATCTGTGTATTAGTGCATTGGTCCTCCACTGTTTTAATTACTATGGCTTTAGAGCTTGTGTTAACACTTGGCAGTGGTTATGCCTCCTAACACTCCTAGGAGGGGAAATGCAAGCAGTAGGCAATGTGCTGGAGATAACAGTCCAAGGCAAGTAAAAATAGACGATGGTGTCATTGTCCATGTGAAAGCCAAGTCTGGGTAAGATGGTAAAAGCAGACAAGCTTAATTCCAGAGGCGAGATTAGCAGTATAGTCTATATCTGAAGAGTTAATGAATCCAAGTGGAAAATACATGTGATAACTTGTTAGGATGTAGAAAAGGCTTGTAGGTCAGTCATCAGAATATAGCTGGTTCAGGGTTTGCTTTGAGATGAGCTTCGAGGGAGCCACTGTTGACTCAAAAATGCCTGTGCTATTTCCAGTCCTTAAATCCAAAAGGTGAGTGTTAGCAACTGTGATGTGAGCCACTATAAAGGGTAGCTGAGATTGCATGACTCCAGTGCTATGCAGTCCCGTGGTTCATCGGATCCTCCTGCCTCAGCAACACAAACACCTTGGATCATTCCTCTTGCCCTGTCATTGAACCAGTGCTGGTCAGGGGCCCAAGGTTTAAGAGTGTATTTAAAAATTTAAACAGCTATCTGACACCAGTCTGGGGAAATAACCCAAGTGTGCCCTTTGGCAGGAGCTCATCGTGCCATCATCCCAAGTAAGGATAGTGTTGCTGGCTGCCCCAGATTTTGTGAGCAAGATGGTGAGAAGTTAGAATGTCAGTGTTCTTGGCACAGAGAGGATGTCCAGGCAGATTTAGAAACCTCATTAGCCTCAGCAAGAGGTTAGACATAGATTTCAGGCTTCACAATAGTTTATGCTTATGCAGTATTCTCTCATCAAAAGCTTTCACCATGGTGGGTAAACCCACGTTTACCTGCCTCTTCTGTAGTCAGTGTTTGGTATGAAGCTTGATTCTCTCTGAATACCCATAACCCAAACCAAGATCTATATGTTCTCATTATATTGTGTAAATGAATTGGCCTGTTGCACAATTCAAATGCCCTCAACCCCAGACCCTTTCTCAGATAACAAAATACATGATGTCCAAGTCTATTTATAGCAAATGGCCTGCTATTTATGTATAACCAATAAAATTTAAATCATGTTTAGATTACCTCTGGTACCCAGCACACTATAAGTCCTATGTAAACAATTGCTAGGCCATATCATTACTTGTATTATGGTTTCTCCTCTAATATTTCAATCCACTTTTGTTGAACCTGCAAATGTGGAAAGCATGGGTACAGAAAAATAATTACACACTATTTTGTATGCCTTATGTTTATATTTTGATCTTTCCTGATTCCAAACATAACAAGCAAGCTACAGACAGCAGAGTGGTAAAGTTTTACCTCCTTGATTTTTCCTCCCACAGGCAAATATGGATGGTCTTCCCACAGAGGGAGCAGCACTTACCAACATCAGCCTGAGATGAAGTCTTCAGAAATGAGCGAGCTGTGAGCCTTCAGCACTCTCCTGATCTGAGCCTAATTATCCTTCCTCATTTGTGCTTAGATTTGCTTCTTTCTCAGAGAATAGATTTCTCCTGGGGCCTAGGATAAAAGCAACCTGGCACCTTCCTACCATCTCTCTCTTTCTCCTAGGAAAAATAAAACCATCCTGGTAAATACTTTGTGGACCATGGCTAAAGAGCAGCCAGAAACAGCACTCCCTGGGCACACTGCAGTCCCAACCTCAGCTTCCGGCTTCACTCCTTCCTGCCAAACACCAGATTGTGACCTTCTAGTGGGCAAGAGCTTCACTGTGGTGGATGGAATGGATCCGAGATGGATAAAGAAACCACAGGACATTGCAAGCATCCAGTTTGATGCAGCAAGGCAAGGTGTGAAGCTTCTGGGTCCAGAAAAGGTAGATCTTGTTAAGTCCAGTCCTACAGTCCACCAAGACCCTTTACAAATAGCTTCTCCCCAATTTTGTCTATGCCCATTTTTCCTTGTGGAGAAGGTATACTACCTTCTACTTGGAAGACTGGGCACATGGCACACAATAGCCTACACTGATTGCACTGCATCTAGGCCTGTGAGTGATGAGAAAATACACCAGATCTGATTATATCCCCAACTCTTGTCTCTGGGGATGATCAGGACCTGTCTTCAATTTATGCAGGCTCAGATAAGTAATTACAGAAAAGTCCTCTCTCCTACATCTTAATATCTCTCACCTAACTTCTAAAGTCTTCATTTATTGCCCATTTCTCAAAGGAGCTCTGTCTTTCCCACTAACTTGCTGTCTTCTATCCCACTCCCTTGTTTATTCCTGTGAGTAGGAATTTGTTCATGGCCTTACTAACCAACTAACAATATAATTCTATTAATTGGAGTATGTAAAAAAACTTTAAATCTCAATTAATTTTATCTTCTATTCTTAATCTGATTGTTCCTAGGATCTGTTTCACCCCTTATGAAGCAGGAATAATTAATGATCTATCCTTAGAGTTTATATATGCTTGCTATGACTTACAAAAGTAGTTAGTTGTGTATGACAGGCCTAAAAGATCAGACGTGGCTAACCAGGAAGAGACAAGAAACAAGCAAACTAAAGCAAATGAATGTATGTCCAGAGAGTTCAAAGCAGTAGAAGATACAGATGCTGGCTACGGGGCTCTAAAAAACAAATTGCAAAGTAATGGATACAGAAAAGTTTTCTGGGTCTTCATTTTGACCAAGCGCCTTATCCTCTAGATGGAAGAAATGACTCATTGCCTAGGACAGTCATTACTCTGCTTGTTCTAAGAGATTAAGGACACTCCAACGTTACTAGAGATTATGAATCATACCCAACAACCACGGGAAGTTAGCTCATTCTTAGAATCCAATTAAAATACAAAGCCATTAGAGTGATGGCAATGGATTCACCCTTAGACAGCCTATTTTCTGAAGAGAGGCAGACATATGAAAGGAGAACTAGAAAAAGGTAATTAGACATATGGTAGAGGTTCCAGGAAATCCTTGTCATGAGGTCAAAGAGGGAGAGGGACATTCTCTATGCACTCTGGAAAGTGGGAGAGACCACTTTTCTAACACCCTAATGATTATCTATAATCTCAGCTTTTTTATTCAAATCCCAGGAGATGTCTTTAACCTCTGGACACTCCACTTCCCATGACACCTCATCTTACGTACATAGAAAATGAAACAAAAAAAGGGACACCATAATTTTGCTGGACACAAGACAAGAATTTTGTAAGAACCAACTTCTCAATCCCATAATTACTGAGTGAAGAAAAGACTTCAACTTCATTATCTGTCACTTTTTAATTTATTTGGATCTTAATGGTTTAATGAACCACTCATACTATCCACATTTAAATTAACCAAAAAGAGACAAATGTGCTCTAAGGATGAAGTTTAAGATACCCATGATACTATTGGTGAAGAATCAATAGACATCTTGATAGTGAGTTTCCTATAATTACATCCCCCACCATTAATCAGAAATACTTATCAAGTAGTTGGCAGCTCTAGACAATACCCTCCCTCAACAGCATCAGAGTCTTGACTGCAAAGAGCCCAGATAGCATGAGAGCAAACTAAGGCACAAGAATCCTCCCAAAAGCCACATTTTTTGAGAAGAGACAAGGGATGTGTACTACTTAGAAGCCTCTAACATTCTCCCAGGGGTGAGTTAGCAGGGGTGGTAATAGGCCAGGAACACTCTGTAATGGAGAATCCTCCACATGGGTGGGTATGTCAGGAGCATCAAATAGTACTCCACAGAAATAGAACTCTGTTATTTCCCCCCATTTGTTCAACACCGTTCTTTGAAAGAGGAACCACTTTTTTTCATCCTTTACTATAGTGGTACTTAAAATGTTGTGTTGAATAGGTAATTTGCAATTACTGACATGAGGATAACTAAAGAATTTACTTATATTCAAAGCCATTTCAAGAAGTCTGATCAATATGAAGACAGTACACCCAGGAACTCTCAGGGCCACCAGGCATATAACTTGGGTCCTCTACAATATCGCAAGTGGATAGTTTTATAAATAGTACCTTCCTTGTGGGAAGTTCTACGTCATCTGAGGTGTGAGTGCCTAGGAGAACAGCAATGGAATGGAAGGGTGAAGGATGTTGGTAGGGAGGATATTTAAGGACGTGTCCACAAACAGATTTGAAAGCATACATTCAACATTACTACCATTCGTTCATTCATTCATTTTTTCAACAAATATTACCAGGTGCTTATGAAAACCTGTTCTGGTGATCTAGTAGTAAACAGAGCCAACTTCTTCACCCTGTGACCTTTCATGTTGGTTTGGGTGACAGCAAATATAAGGTAACAAAATAAATAAATAACATGCTATTATTCCAGGTAGTATCAAGTTCTATGAAGAAGAGAAAGGCTGGTGAGAAGTCAGAGAGGAATATCGTTGTTGAGTGTCATTTTTCCAGCTTGGTTACCACAGGAATGAGAGAAAGATATTAAGTATTACAAACAGAAAACATTTTAGTTGGTGAGAAGAATGACTTAGTTCAAAGAATTGGAGGAAAACATAGTCAATTAAATCATGTGGTGTTTATCCAGAATAATTTTGTTGACGTATGTAAAAGATAGAATTTTTGCCAAGCATGTCTACTCCCTACAACCCACACATGCGCACCCTTATCTAGTACAGTTTGTACCTCAACTCATGAGTGACACCCCATGACAGTCATAAGGTGAAGCCATAGAAATAACATCAGATTCAAAGGAGGAGATTGCTACAGACCTCTCAAATCTCCTTTAAGCCCTGTGGTTTTACTCAGATTCTTTACTAACCAAAGAGGATTATCTAACAGTGCTAAGTGACCCAAGGGTCTAGCTGACCATTCCTTAAAATTTTTACTATGACTTCTTGTAGACATTGTAGACAGGGGCCATCACTGTCACAATCATTAACTGTCATCAAAATCTCACAGTGTCTCCCACCACAGTTAGGAGGCTCACAAAAGTCAATGAATCAACAAATAATGCCATCAATTTTATATGTGTCTGGCTCCAGGAACACTAATAGGGAAAAGAAGGGAGAGAAAGACAGATTCTACAGGTGTTACTGAGGACCAGTAGAAACTTAATTTCAGGGAAGAGCAACAATACCTCAGAATTCACACTCAGTGTGTGTGTCAGGAGCTCTTGCTGAAATTCAGAAAGTCCCTGGGAGGTGTAAATGTCTTAGTCACACCTGAGTGTTATTTGCTTTAATCTTACAATTGGTAATAATTATGAAGTCTGAAATATGAAATGTAAGTGTGTGTATGTACATAGGAAAGGTTATCCTAATGAACTTAAAAGTCTGTGGAGAAGCTGGCATTGTGGCTCAGTGGGTAAAAGTGCTTATCCTACAAGCATGAAGACTTGGGTTCTATTCCACAATCCATGATGAAAGGAGAAAGCAGACTCAGGAAATTTGTCCTCTGACTTCCACACAAGGGGTGTATCAACATGAGCATACAAGTATGCACAAATAATGCACACACACACACATACTCACACACTAGCAACATAAATAGACTGTGTTAAGTAGAGCATTGAGTTAACAGCAGCTATTGTATTCAGACATATAACTCAAGCAAGGAAATAACCAAGAGTGTCTGGATTACTTTTGTCTCAGAAAAGTCTACCCAAAGAATGATCAAATGAAGAGAAGAGGAAAATGAAAAGAAAAGAGATTAAGGGCTTGTCCAAGGCAAACTTGGGAATCTGGAGATGATAGGATATAGACTTCCAACCAAGTCTACCACTTCTACCTACTACAGGAGTAGCAAATCTTTTCTATAAAGTGAAAGATGGTAAATCTTTTAGGCCTTCTGAGCCACACATTCTTTGATCCCAATTTTGACCTTACCAATGGAATAGAAAACAAGTCAAAGACAGCAAGCAAACAACTGAGCAAAGCTATGTGCCAATAAAGTTTTATTTATGGACTCTCAAGTACAAATTCCACACAACTTCCATGTGTCACAAAATAATTTTCTTCTTTTGATTTTCTTTCAGCTACTGAAAAACATAGAACTCATTCTTCATTACAAGCCAACTTCTGACCCTAAACATTCTGTTTTCCTACCTTAGAGACTGTATCCTGACTTTGTCGTAGCAAGAGTATCATGGGATCTTGTAAAGTGGGTTTGAAGGAGGGTAGGGACATGGGGACAATTTATGTATCATTCAAAGTACAGCCAAAGAATGAAGCAGCCCCAACATGCCAAGAAAGTGTCATCTTTCTGTTAAATCCATTGGTCTTTCTTCGTTGTTTACCCACACCACACCTTCCATACTGTTATAATGTGTCTGGAATAACTTTATAATCCTTCAAATTCCAGGAAACCAATTTAGTCCTATTGTCTTTTACTCAGTACAAGGCTCCTCTTTAAATTTCTGTCCCCTCACTGGATTTGTGATTTGCTTCATTGCTACAACAAAATGCCTGACAAGAAGCAACTTAAGAGGAGAAGGTGTCTTTAAATTTCAATTTACATATCAAGGAGACTTACTCCATCATGGTAGGGAAGTCATGGCAATAGGGGCAGGTGCCAGCTGGGCATATTATACCCACAGGAAAGAAGCAGAGAGTGATGAATGCTTGCCTTTCGCTTTCCTTTTCCTCCCTCCCTCCCTTCCTTCTTTCTTTCCTTCTTTCCTTCCTTTTTTTTGTTTTCAAAGCAGGATTTCTTTGTGCAACAGCCCTAGCTATCCTAGAACTAGCTCTGTAGACCAGGCTGACCCCAGATTCACAGAGCTCTGCCTGTCTCTGCCTGCCGAGTGCTAGGACTAAAGGTGTGTCCCACCACTGCACAGCTGCTTTTTTCCTTTCACTTAGTCTGGAACCCCAGTCCATTGAATTACCCTACTCACATTTTGGATGGGTCTTCCCAATTCAGTTAACTTAATCTAGTTAAACCCTCCCAGACACACTCTGAGAATTCCTTCTGTGATGATTCTTGAGCCTATCAAGTTGACAATTAGGAATAGTCAATACACACACACACACACACACACACACACACACGTGTGCACACTCATTCAGGCACCTTTTGAACATAGAGAAAGTAAAAGTAAAATAGGAAGGAATGTTGGGATCCCATATCTGAAAACATCAGACTCCTGTTTTCTGCTCTGTCTATGTCTCTGTCTCTCTCCTTTTCCCTCTCTTTTGCTCTCCACCTGTGCCACTTCCTATTGACCTAGGGCAATGGAAAACTGAAAATAACATGCCTGAATAACTAAAGGAAATATACTGGACTGCTGGCTTCAACTGCCAGTGTAAGGAACCTAGAAGTTACCATCCCAACCTACCAATGTGGAAGAAGGGGAACAAACTGAAAACCAACACTACTCTTTAGTACAATAAAAGAAGTGAGGTTGAACAAGCAGGCAATGCCCCTGCTCCTGAATGGGAGAGACAGACAAGAATACTCACGGACATAACAATGGAAGAGCTTGGATTTACTGTTTTTTTTTTCACTCTGCAGAAGACATGGACTGTCAAGAGAATAAAAAGACAAACCACAAACTGGAGAAAAATATTTGCTAAAGAATGGCCCAAATCCAGGAAACTGACAACAGCAAGTGCTGGCAAGAGTGTAGAGCAACGGGAACTCTTATTCATTGCTTGTGGGAATGTGAAATGCTGCAGCCACTCAGAAGCTAGTTTAGCAGCTTCTTATAGAACTAATTATACTCTTAGATTGTGATCCAGCCATCCAGATACCCAGTATTTCCCCAAACCATACTGAAAGTGGCTTTCTTGATCATTGGCAAAACAGCCACACACAGAATGTCCTGCATTAGGTCAAAAGGTAAATGTTGCACATCTAGATAATGGAATACAAACTATCAATGATAAAGGAGTTGATGCAATGAAGAAGCCAACAGGCAAAGACTGTGCCCTGTATGACTCCAACTGTGTAGTATCCTGTAAAAGGCAAGACTGTGAAGACAAATAAAATATCAGGAGATACCAGGAGCTAGGGAGAGAAAGGGCTGAATAGGCAGAGTCCAGTGGGATCTGTAGGACTCTGGAAATATTCTGATGCTCCACGGGCACATACACATCATTATATGTTTGTTCAAAGCCATAGAATACACTGAACCAAGAAAGAAGTCTAGTGTAAACCATGGATTTGAGTGATAAGGGTGTGTCTGTGAAGGCTTATCAGTGGGAACGACTATCCCATTTTGTTGAGGGATATTGACAATAAGGAAAGATAGAGATGTGTGGGAGATGGGGGGGTATGAGACTCTGTATGTTTTCTACATTTTTCAGTGAACCCAAAACTGCTCTAAAAATAAAGTATTCTTAAAGCAAGAAATAAATACATTAAGTTAAGGGAAAGCATATTTTCTTCTCCAAAAACGTATCAGGGATAGATTTTTCTATGTTATATTTTATTATCAACATAAAGCCTTGAATGTGTAGTTCAAGATGTCTGCTTCTTTCTAGCTTTTACATCTACATTCCAAAGAGAATAGCAGATCACAGCTTCCCTTCTTCATGGCAGTTTCTTGAGCTTGCACACTCTAGATCTCTATGTATTCTCATGGTAAGTGGTCCTGGTTGTCCCCAACTTCAAGGAGGCCTGGAAAATAGATTTGCTGAACATCCACATGCTTAGATAAGAGTTGAGGCATGTTCATGCATAGCTAATGTTTCTGCTGTGCCATCTATGGTTTCGAGAAGTGCTGAGCTCTTCTGTTTTTTGCATTTACTTTTGCATCACCTAGGGAAGATATAAAGGACGCCAACCAACAAGTTTTCACAAAGCTCAGAGCATTCCTGCTGACCGCTGCATCTCACACTCCCCTTGCACACCCAGGGCTTGCATACCCGTACTCCTGGATCCTGCTCTCAGTATTCAGTCCTCCCCAGCACCTCCTCCTTCCCAATCCTTCTCCATTCCTACCCCAGCTCCTTTCAACAGTGCTCAAGTGCACAGTAGTGAACTTGAGATCCTGTCTCAAACAAGGTGAAAAGCGAGGACCCACATCTGAGGTTATCCTCTGACCTCCACATCCCCACTGCAGTGCGTGAGCATGCGCATGTGTGCAGGCACACACACCCATACACAAACACACACATATTCACACAATAAATAGTTGTAAGGATAATAATAATAAAACAAGTTTTAAATGAAATTAAAGAGTTAAAGCCTGGTAGCATCAGATGTTTTAGTAAGCCAGTGATAATTTGTCATTTTATTTTGTTGATAGACAAATCTAAATCATGAAGGGAAAGTGTGTATTATATGGATGGCATTCAGTAGCTAGCCATGGATAAGCATAGAATGCATAATACAGGACTGGATCTTCCTCGTGCAAGAGAGAACTTTAGTTACCACCACCTTTTGAAAGTAACGTTTTATGTTATTGTACAAGGCATTTACACACACACACACACACACACACACACACACACACACACACATATATATAAGAATCATCGCTTTAATGGAAAGAAGAGACAGAAGACAGAATCAGGGAAAGGACTTCTACCTCCCCATACTCTATAACTTATCCTCTTCTTATAGAGTTAGAGTGTGGTACCAATAAAATATGCTTCTTGTTGGATGGCTCAGTTCATGCATGGCAAAAAAAAAACATGATTCTGGAGATTCCAGTCTCGTACAACAGGCAACTGCCAAGTACACTGAGGCCAGCATCTTTCTTTGAACTTGTCTCCATCTCTTTGGGCCAGATATCTTTGTTCACCATCTGCATATTCAGTGTTTTGCTTAAGGAATTGCAAACAGAAGGCATGCATTTGGTGGGACTCATATTACTGATGAGTTTAAATTAGCAAATCAACCTCTTGGAAAGGGTCTTAGTATTGGGATTCACTCTTAGGTCATGGCTTCCCTCTGCTTCTGCCTCCTCCAGAGAACTCAGAATACATTAATTTTCAAAGATCCTGTGAGTCCGACTTATGGCCCTTGGTGATAATTCTGTGCTGAGATCGGCCTCGAGGCTACTGGAGACGACCCTGTTTACATTTATTTGATTTAGATATATCATTTCTGCAAACATGGAAAAGCATCTCAAAATGGCCTCTGGCGATGTATGCGTTCATAACCCAGTTTAAACACAAGACACAGCGCTCCTCCATTTGCTAGCAGGCATTTGACTGCAGAAGCAGCTGGGTACTAGTTTTGTTTGTGCCCAGTGTAGCATGTGACAGGAATATGAGTGAGTGAGCATACAACCATGGAGTTAGTATGCGGGATGGGGGTGGGGGCTTTAGAAAGTTGCATACAGTCAGCTGAGCTCCCTTTTCTCAGCATCTGCCCCATAGCTCAACAGACTGGAAACAAGGGTCCTTTCCTTATTTAAGATAATTGCAATGTTATGGCACCTACTTGCTCTACCAATGCCAACTTTTATGATGTTGTTTTGTTTAATTTTGGTGGTACTGGAATTTGAACCCAGGGCCTGGGCTAATACTGTGCTCCTGCACTATATGTCCAACTAACAATTACATATGTTGAATGATATAAAGAGTGATGGTGCTTCTTGAAGAAGATGGTGTCTGATTTTTTTTGGGATTCTTATTTATGTGGGGGAAGAAACAAAGATATGAAAAAGGCATTTGGTGACAACTGCTCTTTGTGAATTTTTATCCTGACTGAGTGTTACTATTCTTGCCTCTGCTCTTGAAGTCCCACTGGGAGTCTGCCTGGGAAATAGCCAGAGACAGCAGAGTGAGAGGTGAAGGAATTGCCTATCATTAGAGAACAGCAAAAGGAACAATGGATACCAAGAAGAACCGCAAGCCACCAAGACTTCAGAGAACAAAAGGGACACGTGGGAAGAAAAGGAAATTGCTAATGGATAATGTGTGACTCGTATAAATAATGAGAAAGAAAAAACATGAATTTCAAAAACACTTTTCAACATTATTAAATAAAAGTTTAAGAGCTATATGGTGAGGAACATGAAATTTTACGTGGTGTTCTTATTACAAGAGGGAAATAACCTCAGCCAGCAACTTCTCCTCTTCTGCCAGAGACTAAAGTCTATTGGAAAGCAGAAATCATTCTATAAATATAAAGCTTAATCATCGTCATCGTCGTCATCATCATTTCCTACATGGGCTGCTAATTGGAAACAGGCACAACACTGACTTCCTTATTGTCTAGAGATTTACCATCATCTAAGTCCTTACCCATCTTAAGAGAGATTGCCATTTCTCAACACATA